CCTGCACTTTAGCCCCGCCGCAGATGAAAACATGGTGTTTTTTGGGCTGTTTCATTAGGTATTGAGATTCGTCCACCTGACCCAAATGGTTGTCATTTATTGGCTTTTGTTTGCATAAATAATTAATGAGTTCGAGAATTACAGTTAAGGTTTTCATGGCCCAGTTTTTCGATATTTTTTCCCTCAAATAATGTACCACAGCATCTATTTTCTCAAATTTTAGCCAGCATCTTCAATGTGGTGCTCATTCAAGAGCAGTGTTTATTTCAAAATCATATTATTTTCTTAGATCACTGACAACAATAATAATAATTATATAGATTTAGCCAGGGTGAAAAGCAAAAAGCTCTTGACAATATTTATAGTTGGCTCAAATAAAATATAAAATCATATAATGCTAAGCAGCAAAGGCAACGAGAATGGTGAAAAAACAACAATAGGTCTAATTAGCAAAAAAGCAACTTTGCAGGTGCAGCACACTTTTTTGTACATTTCTTTGCCACTGTTTTGCACGACTACAACGTAAAACTTCCAGAAACTTCCTAGTTACACATTTTATGACATATGTGTTCTTGTTCACTTTTTTTTCACTGCTGCTCATTTTCACCTTTGGCCACTAGTATTTCTCATTTTCTCAACGCCGCTACAAATTTTTCATGTTGTCCTTCCAAAAAAGAATGTCTCCTCTGTTTTTCATCTCTCGCTCTAGCTCTCTTTCACTCTTTTTCTCATTGAGCTTCGCTGGCCTGTCGCCAGCATGTACTTTCTCTTTTTCCCTGTCTTTCTATTTCTCTGTATTCCAAATTGCGGACATCACAATTAATCTAAGCTTAATACTTTTAGACAACACAGATACAGTTGTCTCTGCTTCATGCGACACGGATGGCTATGTGATTTCCCGCCAAAATAACCTTGAGTTGCAATCGGATTGCCATATATGTACCTGTTGACTGAGTTATTTCACATTGGTATGCCTGTGGTGCAGACGGAAGGACATGCGGTCACGTGATTATCAGAATTTCTCGGAGGGGAAAATTACCACATTTTCTTAGGTAACGGGCTACACTCGTGGAGGTCCGCTATCAGCCTAAGTCATTAAAGGAATTCTATCACTTGAAAGCATTGATTACTTTGGAACAAGTGAATGCTTCATGATCAGCGGTCGAGAAGAATCTTAATGAGCCAAACCTTCATGGTGAGGCTAACTGGTCGAATGTTGTAAACTTTCATTGTATGCAAATTAAATGAGTCTTGTGATGAGCATGCGGCGGATATTTTTGGCAATGATTGAAATGATACGCCATGTTTTTGCTCTTTGACAATGATGTCATTTCTCTCAAATCGAGGCCCGTGATTTTATACAACAAATTCAGAAACAAACAGTTAAATACAATATAAAAAGTAAATATCTTGAGGAATAATATCCAAGCAAGCTAGACTTCATCCTCTTAAGAGTGTTTTTCTTTTCACTTACCATTGGGGTGAAACATTTCACAGGTAAATCTCATCTTGGGTGGGCTAAAAGGGTAGTCAGGCGGAAATACAAGTCTTGTGGTGAATACAACCCCTTCAAATGGTTCCCTTCAGGGCCACAGTAATATAGAGTTGTTGCATCAGTGACATATACGGTGTGATGAATATACAGCTATTTCGAGAATCGGAAAAATTGTGCTCGCGACAATCCGGAAAGGCAATATGGGATATAATCAATACGCTGTTCCTGACACTGTGGCTGTGGAACCTACTTTTGTTGCTTTCCTTTAGCATTCGCAAACATAATTATGTCAATGGTCTCTCGTGCTATTCTTTCAAATTTCTTTGAAGAACAGTGAACTCAAAACCACCCACAATACCTTTCGGGATTGTCGCATGCACTTCTTCCCACAACCCTTCTTGAAATAGCTGTACATTGTAGGAAAACCTCACATGAAGGGCCTTTTAAAACAAGCAGGGCTGTCATTAAAAGGCGGAAGCTGGGGATTTCCCCCAGCTACTCTAAACATGGCCCCTGGCTATACTTTCAAAGGAAAATACAATGTAGAAGAAAGGCATGGAAAATTAAGATCATTTTCATAATTTCAAAATGGTGGCGCCAAGTACTGTAATGACAGACAACTCTAATTTCATTGCACTCGACATACAACTGCAGCATTTGTGACTATTTGCTCACAAATTCTATTAGTGTCTCTAATGAGATATGACATTTCACCAGTTTCATGACTTGTACGAGTCGTACCATTCGACAGGGCCCCCCCTCATGTAGGCTCTTGCCGATTGTGCTAGCATAATTTTTGGCATAATCTGAGGAATTGAGCATAATTTTTGCCCTTTTTCCAAAAGTAGCACTGCTAGCATAATCCGTATATTTTCTTGTCTTAATAGCACAATTTTAGAATAATTCAAGAAAACGAAGATCTCAGCTACTAAAAACGATAGATTACTATTAACAGTTGCTTCCACTCCTATTTTTCGATTTTTTTTTACTTGTGTTGAGATACCGCGGGAGTTCGATGAAACGGAACCGGAAGTCTGTGTCTCGGTCCCAGACTCCTTAGTCTTTCTCCCAGTGCTCGTTTCAAAATGGCGGCCGCCACGCCAAACCAGTCAAGTGCAGTGAACTTACATCCAGATAGTTTACAAGGTTGCGAGAACAGAGAGGATAGACCAAAGCCTGCACAACTTGCCCGGATATGGCGCCCAGGAAGTGCTGTCAGGTACTTGTTCCTGGATAGCAGATTTATTTGCCGTATAGGCCCAACCACCGGATAAAGTTACCCAGGTTTTGAACAACCGGGCCCAGAACGTCTGGCCAGGGTTAATAAAATACATTTTCAAACTTGTCTTGTGAGTTGTGAAGTTTGTGCACAGAATAATTTTTTAAAAAAGTAGCATAATTTTGAAAAGCGAGCATAATTTGAACATAACTTGGGCAAAAAACGAGCACTGCCACTAGCATAATATGCCACTTTTACTAGCACAATCGGCAAATGCCTACCCTCATGACAACTTTGTTCACATATAGAAAAAATATATATTACATATGTAGAAGGCCTAAATGTAATAAACAGCCCGAAATGTAATAAAGTCCTAAATGTAATAACATTTTGTCCTAAATGTAATAAACTTTTAAGTTGCAAATTAGTAATTACTCAAATAAGCGCCGTATTTAAGGAAATTTAATAAGCGATGCCAGGAGCCCATAACTTCACGTAATGTAATGTAATGTAATGTAAAGGGACAAAGTCAAAAAAAACTTTAAGCCTTAAATAGTTTTTCATACTTCATTTTTGTTAAAGAAATTTACTGCAAAAACCGTGGACGAAGATCCTATTGCTTGTCAACGTTGGATCTCTAGAAAAGAGATCTAATCGTGCAGCTAAAATATTACTGTACAGCTGATAACAACGTTTATAAATATCTAAGATAGTACACGCGCGCTCCGATTGGCCGAGAGATGTGTTTGCATGAGAGTATGTAAACATGTGTGGAGTCAAGATGTTTTGCTCTTCGCGCGCTAATCACAGAAGCACGAATTTTAAAAAGTTACTTTATTTACCCATTCCCTCGTCGGATGAGACTTGGAAAATCTCTACAGATATGCTGTGCCAATTTTTTAATGCCTAGGCTGACATTTTAAGCGAGAAAAACCCTTTTTTGGAAAACATCTTTATTGCAAACACGTACATTAAGCTTCGTGTACAAGACTTCGCGACAGGTAAGAATTTCTCTTTTAATCAGTAACCTAAACAAAGAGTTTTTCTTTTATCTCGGGAAAGTTACTTCATAAAAGCAACAGAAAACTTTTTTCCTGTGTTTGCATAGCCTGATATAAGAACTCGAGGCGTTGGGAGAATTCTTGACAGTTATGCAAACCCGAGACGACGTCGAGGGTTTGCAGTACTGTCTCGAATTCTCCCAACCCGTCGAGTGTTTATATCAGGCTATGCAAAAAAAGGAAAAAAGCTTTCTGTTGTTTTAATATTGTTTTTTTAGAAAAATACTGTTACTTTACCGTTTAAAAGCAATTTATCTGTAAACGTTAAGTTTCAGAGTGCATAAGGAAATGTACCGAATTTACGCGAATTAGCGTTGCGGCGCTTACCAACTTTTTTCTCCAAAAATGCGGCGCTTATTTGAGAGCGGGGCTTAATTCCATAATAATACCGCTTTGTTTTGTATTTACACGAATAAGCACCGCGGCGTTAATTAACTCCCCCCCTCCCCATGCGGCGCTTATTTAAGGGCGGCGCTTATTCGAGTAATTACTGTAATTGACCACCTAAGAGTTTACTAAATTTAGGGCAAATTGTTATTACATTTAGGACTTTATTACATTTAGGGCCGTTTATTACATTCAGAAACTCATAAGGGGTTGAATCAACCCCTTATGAGTTTCTGTTACATTTTAATAGGCCTTCT